GCAGGTTATGCATTGTTTTCCCTTGACGCTCTGAGTATATAATTTTCTAATCCCTCTTTCCTTATTATGTACACTAGAAATTTCAACTGCTTCTTTCTTATGTTAAATATAAATCTCCTTTTTGTTTCTACTTTCTCTAAAACTTTGTTGTTGCTCACATGTTCGGTACATGACATTTCCAACATCTTTCTGTAGGATACTGCAGACAAAATTGAAAGAACGCTTAGGGAAATTTGGAGTTGAGACTAAGATTGTAGAGCTCCAGAAAACTCATCATTTATTCTGCAAAGATTCCCCAAAATGTTCTTGAGTTATGAGGATTCTGGTTAACACAATCTCTCAAGAACAGAATTCCGATTGACTATATCAATTTGTGACACCAGAATAATAATAATAATAATAATAATAATAATAATAAATACCCTGATACTAAACTGGGAATGGTTTTCTTAATTTATTGGAAATGGGGTACCTCAATGGCTAGCAAGCTTGTCTTTTTTAGAGCAATTACAACTGAGTAGTGAATTCGATCCTCATTGGGTGCCCCATACTTTCCACCTTGTGCCACATCTAAGCTATGCCTAGAAAATAGCTTAATTTATTGGAAGTGTTAGCATGTACATGTTTTGTCTTGGTGAATTAAGATGGGCTACAGTAAATATTCCCTCCAGCACCACAGATTTGCTTATCTGTTGACTGACCATCACCAATTGGGCATGTTTACTAGAGACTGACACACTGTGCATCTCTGTTGATGAGTGGGAGTGAGAGTAATTAAAAGGTATTATGACCAGATATTGAGAGTATTAGGCTTCTTTTTTTCTTTTTAAATTTGAAGTCTAATACAGCAAAGGCAGTTTTAGAGTCACATCTAGATACTGGAGAACACCCTCAATTGGAGACCATCTGAGTGGAGTGGGTTTCCCAATGTGAAGGTATTTCTAACTGGGTTTCACCTGCAACATTATGTGCTGCTTTTATTTAAACCTGTCAACATATTATGCATATTTAGCTGTGATGCATGTGCCTTGTATACCCTTATCAAACTCACAATAATAATAATGATGATTAAGCATTTACACCAATTGTAACTAAAGGCTTTTGCTAAAACTTAAGTGACCATACATGTAATCATTATTCCAGTACTCTGCCAGTTTTCAACAATGCTGTTTGGATGTTTAAAATTCTTCCTTTAATTTCTAGTTTTTTTTGTTTGTTGTTTCACCTGGATTCTTTAATAATGGTCCCAGTACTCCAATAATGACTGGTATTACTGTCAGTGTCATATTGCACAAGTTAGTTCTATCTTTTCACTTTCTTTCTGTTCACCTCTGTGGTCTACCAGAACAGCAAATCCACTATCAAGCAAGTTGTCTTCTTTCTGTTAATTATTATATATAATTAGTATATACTATTATATATAATTAATATTAGTATTCAAGTTAGAACCAGTCTTCTCAATAGTTCATCACTCTTAAGATTCTAGTTGTTTTTTCACTGTCATAACAGTCATTATCAGAGCACTGGGATTGGGAACCATCCCAAAGAGCCTAGGGGAAAGAAAAAAAAAGATTGGAGTAACTGGAAATTGGAATTGAACTATCCAGAAAATACAATTTCCTGGATGGTTCTAAGTCTTTCTCCAATTTCCATTTCCTTTTGTTTCCCCATATGCTCTTTAGGGCTGTTTCTAGTGCTCTGATAAAGACTGGCATGACTGTCACCTTCATGTGTCATGACTTTCTCAGCTTTTTGGCAAAGTTAAGATACCATCCATCTTTTTACTTTCTTTCCGGTTACCTCTGTGGTCTGCCAGATCAACTATCTGGGATATTGTCTTCTTTTTGTTAAATAGTAACAAGTTCAATCTTCTAACAGTTTGAATTTCAAAGACCCAGAGAATTTTATGTATTTAATTTTCTGGGACAGATTTTGGACTGTGCATATAGTATTGATCTGTATGATTAATAACAAGGCTTTGCATGTTGTAAAATCAACCAACCAATTGTATGGTTAAAACACAGTTGCTTGCACAGTTCCCAGTTATTGCTCACCCTGTTTCCACTGAGTCTAAGTTTGCACTACCTGGTCCAGGGATTGAACTCACAATTACTATGTCACCAAATTCCTGAAGCAACACTTTCATCCACTATTGTCCCTGGATCAGGTAGTACAGTTTTAGATTCAGAGGTAAAAGGGTATGCAATAACTGAGCAATTCTAAAACAAAAGGAACAAAATATCCCAAGACATGGATTGAGAACAGTCTATCTTTGTAGATTAAATAAAGGGTGCAGTTTGAAATTTCCTGAAGGTTATCCAGATTGATAGATACCTGGGGGAGGCTGGAGGACATTACAGCTGAAATGTGATAATTGCAATAAAGATGAAAGACATTAGGCTGAATGTAAATAATGTAAATAAATATAAATGCTCATCCGGAGATTTTAATTACTTAGATATTAAGCAGATTTTCAGTCATTTAAAATCACGTTTTGATGGATTTTTGCATGAATTATTATCTGCATGAGGAAATGCACCAAAAGTCAGCCAAACTCCAAATCTTGAATGCCTGCAATATTTTAAAAAGCTTTACGAGGCAGATTTCGAACAAGTTAACAATGGTTATTGGGGGGGAGGGACCTGAATAATGTCTTTTGAAGTGTCATGGATTCCTCCTCCTCCCACTCCTTCTCTTCAGCCTCCTCCTCTTCATCACCACTACCACAATCATCATCGTCGTCATCATCATCATCATCATCATCATCATCATCATCATCATCATCATCATCATCATCATTTTGTCGTGTTTTGACGAGGAAATAAAAGGTACAGCCTACCGCTGTGCCTTTATACTATATTTATTACTGTTGTGATTTCTTCTCTTGCAATTCTTGCAATTTAGATCTCTCTCCATTAAGGATCTGATTAATCCGACATGAAAGAAAAAAAGAAAGGAAAAAGAAAAAAAAAAAAAAAGGTATGACTCAAAAAAAAAGTCAGTTACTTTCTCTCGTTCATGCACACATTAATGTCATGCTGACATCAATGCCTTAAGGAAAAATTATATTTTCCTTTGTTATTTTTTTTTATTTTCATATTTTTTTTTTATCAAATAAAGGGAGTTTGCAATGAAATTTTAAACAGCATGACTGAACTGTGCAAATTAATTAAGCAGCCTGACTATAAAAAAAAAAAAAAAGATAAAGCAAACAAATAATGAATATTTTGGAGGGATTTTTACATTGTGATGTTCATTTTTATACAATGTACATTGTGAATTGATTGAATGTGTTGAAGAAAGAGAGAGAGTAAAAGCAAGTTGAATAGTCATTCCTTTTTCGGCTTAAACAAAGAAAGCCAAGCTTACATCCATCAGATTTCAAGTGTAAAAATCTTTTTTTGCTAAAAAAAAAAAATTTACAAGAATAAAAAAAAACACAATTTTTATTAAGAGGCCCAGGTTATTTTTGTAGCCTTTCTTCTTCTTCTTCTTCTTCTTCTTCTTCTTCTTCTTCTTCTTCTTCTTCTCTCTTGTTTTTCCTCTTAAGTTTCATCTTTTTGTTTTTTCTTATTTTCTTTTCCCTCTTCTTTTTCCTCTTTGTTCTCTTCTCCTTCTTGTCTTCTTCTTCACCTTTTTTTTCTCACTGAATGTAACTAATTGTTCAAAATATAATAGTCGTCAAAAATTAGGTCGGGTTAATAAGTAAAAATTTCTTTTTTTACATTTTCTTTTTTTTTAATTCTTACCTGTTTAAAGTAAATATACCCTATCCTCCCTCTCTATTTTACACACTCCGACATATAACATTCACCTGTAGTTAGACAAAGAATATTTTGAAACAAAATACAAACAATATTCCACTAATAATTGATCCATACTTATATCTCTACCTTACTATTTTTTTAACATTATTTTGATTTGTAATCATGTTTTAATAATCATTTATATTTTGTTCTGGTGTGGGGGGGGTCATCAAGTGACTAGTTCTTCAGAACTGGTGACCTAACCATTGAGGAATGACTTTTTGAATTTTTTTTTCAATGGCAGGAAATACAATGGATAAGTTGTTTTACTTATAAATTGTTCCCTTTAAATTTCTTGCAGATAATATTAAAAGTAATGCAAATTTAAATTTAAATCATAATTTGATAATTTATAATTATTTAAATTTAATTCTGGGATCCTCAAGGGGTTAGCTGGGTTTCATTGTTGGTACAGTACTGGTGACTTAAGCATTGTTGGATAAAATGCAGGTTTTTTTTTTTTAAAGATTTTTTTTATTCTAGTGTGTCTTATATGAAAGGGAAAAACAAAAGATCCTTATAAATTGCCCTTGTTAAATTTCTTGCAGATAATATAAAAATAATGCAAATTTGTTCAACTTTAAGCACACATTTGAGGATTGATATTAACAAAGCTTCATGCATAGCATGAATTATATTGATTTTTAAAAATGATTGAGAATTAATGGTATGGAATTGTGTGGGGATATGGTGGGTTTAATCATTTGTGTGCATAGGTGTGTTGAAAATCGTGAGTTTGTTTTAGTCAATGTGAAAGCTAAATTCTGGCAATATCAAATGACTGGAATGTTGAATCCAATGATAGATGAGGTGATCTAATTACAGAAGAGGTTTTCAATCAACATGAGAATTTAAAAACATTGCTAACATTTTTATTGGTGGAGTTCATTTTGATTAAATTTTTCAGCTATTTCAAAAATGAATATTATGCAAGGTTTCAAGTCAAGTGAACACTTTATTTGTACACAACATAAAATGTATCTCTGCTTTTATCATCATTGTTTTTGTTGTCATTGTTTATTTCTTATGATTTGCTGTTTGATACAGTCATTTATCGAGTTTTTCACCTGAGACCTCAGGTAAATAAAGGAATATATTGAAAAGGTTTTTCTAAGTGAACATTATTATTATTATTATTATTATTATTATTATTATTATTATTATTATTATTACAGTTACAATTATAAGAATCTTATGGCCATATCATATTCAAACACTAGTTTACATACAATCACTGAAGTTAAGCAACATTATGTGTGATCAGTATCTAGATGGGTGACTGTCTGGGAATACCAGGTGCTGTAAGTTTGGATGTGTTGGTAGTATGGCTTATCGCCACATCACATTGAAACACTGATTTCTGTACGATCACTGAAGTTAAGCAATGTTAAGACTGGCCAGTAACTAGATGGGTAACCCCTTGGGAATACCAGATGCTGTAAACTTGGAAGTGTGGGTAGTATGGCTTACAGCCACATCATGTGAAACACTGGTCCCTATACAATCACCAAAGTTAAGCAAAAGTCAAGCCTGGTCAGTACCTAGATGGGTGACCACTTAGGAACACCAGTTTCGGTAAGCTTGGATTTGTGGTTAGTGTAATGTATAACAGCTCTGAATTGGAAATGAAAAAAAAACATTGTTTGTCTAGTCTATAATTAAACTTTTATTAATGAAGGTCTGCTACATAAATAGCAACACCCACAGCGATGTACTTTTGTGTGTGTACAGTGATACAGCAATATGTCTAGCATAATGATGAAAGAAAAAAAAATTTTGTACAATAAATATTTTTAAATGAACCTCCTTACTATTTATCAATGCACTTAATTCAGTAGTAAATCTTATTCACATTAATTGAATATTATACACTGAAAATTTCAGATCAAAATGTGGACAGCTCCTTAAGACCAGTGTTTGTCATATGATGTTCCCTGGAACCCTAAGAGTTCCATCAGAAACAGTAATAAGCTAATGCATTTTTGAGTAATTTTTGTTTAATTGTATATTCGTAATTTGACTATATATGTACTGTATATAGTTAAAAATCCTCAATTATCATGATAAAGACTTCAACATATTATTGAAAATTATACTAGTCATATGATATTAGTTATTTATGTTTATTTTTGTGAATAAAAACCTCAGTGTGAGATCTCATAAATGAGCCATATGATTTTTTTCTTTTTTTGCATTGCATTGCATTGCAATAAAGTTGAAAAAATAGGAGGACATTTTTTTCCTTAAACCAGTTATCTGAAAAAATGTTATTTTTACCACGTGAACTATGATATAAATATAAAAAAGATAGATATTAATTTTTATGCAGGGGTTCCTTGGGACGTGAAAACTATTTCAAGGGTTCCACAAGGGTAAAAACGATGAGAAAAGCTGCTGTAGACTTATTAACCAACCCTCAGACACTTCTTTGTTTATTGGCATCAATTGTATTCATATGATGAAGTATTTCCTCAAAACATTTGGGTTTTTGTCATTGTAGATTTATATAAATAAACCAAAGATCAAATGCATTTGATATTTCCAAATTTAAAATATTTTTTTAAAGAATTTTTACATTCCTGTATATTATTTAGAATGGGTTATCCAAGAAACTAGAAGATTGTCATATAGACACTACATGACCTCTAGAGTTTCTTGGCAGTGCCCATCTCCTCTCTAGCTAACACAAGGTTTTTGACCATATCATGTTGAAACACCAGTTTCCCATGCAATCACTGAAGTTAAACAATGTTGAGCCTAGTCAGTACCTAGATGGCTGACTGTTTGGGAATATCAGGTGCTATAAGCTTGGATGTGTGGGTGGTATAATGGATAATGGCTCAGAATTATTAATTGGAGAGCCAAATTCAAATTACATTTGAATTTGTTATATTCACTTATACACAAACTAGCAGCATGGCCCGGCGTTGCCCGTGCTTGATTCAAAAATCGTACGACTCATACAGCAATTGCTATCACTTAATTTAAAATATTTTTGCCCTTCCTTGCCTTTGAAGGAATGCCCTTTGCCATGCTGATGTTGCTACATGCCTTACTTCTTGCCTATCTCACATTGCAAATTTTTTCTAAGCTCTATACTAAACATTAAATCTGTTACAAAAAAAAGAACTAAACAAAATGAACACAAAACGATCAGCTTTAAAAAAGGGCTCGTAACTGGAAAAACCGAATGAAAAAGAATGTTAACAACAAATACTTTTTCACACCCAACCCAGTTCTGTGGAATCAGAATCAACGTTGAGTTTAAGCAAGCAAATGAGCCAATTGGAGTAAAGTGCCATGCAAATTTAAATTTTTCCCACTTGTGACGAATGCAGCTATAGGCTTTCACTCTGGCCAGTAGAAAATGGCCGCAAACTACATGAAAACTGCCATAGAAGCATGAAAAAATCGATTATTTCCACTATCAATGGGAGTTGGGAAATGGAAAGTCAGTCTTGGCCTTCCCGCTCACTTGGAGCATGTGCATGTAAATTTTGGTGCAAATCTGTCAAAAATTGTGACCGTGCATTCGTTACACACGCACACACATCCTGCCTTTTATAGATAGAGATATCGTTGGGAAATGTATGAACCAACCTCTTTTCCCCCAGCTATGGATTAATTAAAAGACTTGTAAACTAAACCATTATTATCACAAAACCATTATTATCTCCCCAAAATTTCTTACAAACTAAAAATATTTTCTGGCTTTAAATAATCTACAAAGGGTTGATAAGCCATAAAAAACGAATCAATCAATCAAGATAAAACAAGTTGCATACAATTGATAAATACAAATTTGAAAGTCTTTTAATTGGTAAGAAATGATATACAGTAATTTTCATCTCTGTCTTCTCTTTTTATGTGCCATGTCCCTTCAGCATATGGCTGATCATAGCTCTCCACTACTTCCCATCTTTTGTAGCTCTTTGTAGTATTTGTCTTTTTACTATCCTGCCCATCCCCTGTTCTGCCATCCATTTACACAAGCTCTTTACGTAGGTTGATCATAGCTCTCCACTACTTCCTATCTTTTAGCTCTTAGTAAGGTCTGTTTTTTTTCTCTATTCCTCCCAGTCCCTGTTCTGCCATTTACACAAGCTCTTTACGTAGGTTATTTGATGTTTTCCTCTGCCCCTCTTGCCTTTAATATGTCCTGTGAGTGTTAAATTCTTCAAACTCTCTTTCCTCATTATGTGCCCCCAAAATGAGAACTGTCTTATTCTAATTCTTCTTATTATTTTTGTTTCCATTTTTCTTAAAACTTCATTATTGCTCAAATGTTCTGTCCATGGTATTCTCAGCATCCTTCTGTCTTGCTTCGAGTCTATTCTTCATCTCTTAGGAAATTTCCCAGCATTCATTGCCATGTAGGATGATTAATATTATATAACTGTTAAGCAATCTTTTCCTGTTTCTTAATGCTTTGCTTAGCTTTTGGAAGGCATCTATTCTAATGCACCTTTGGATTTCTATCAGATTTTTATCACTTTAAATGTTATTTTTAGTGGATACTCATATTTGAGTAGGCACTTCAATCATTTATTAAACAGCACATTTATTTATTTTTGTCTATGGGCATGAATCTTTGAGAATAATTATTAATGAAAAATTTGCTCTCTCTGGCAGAATTTGAACCTGCATCCTCCAGGGCATGGGGGAGCTACTGTTAATCCTGGTATGCAATTTAGCCACATTGAACAGTTGGTCGGGTGAGGCTGAATTTTGTGCCTTTAAGTGAAATTTCTCTTATTACAGTTCTCTTGAAATTTTTCATATCTGCATAGTTTTGTATCCAAATATAAAGAGAATTTCAGAATTATTTTTTTTATTAATCAAACAGATTTTTATCACTTTAAACATTATTTTTAGTGAATGCTTGTATTTAAGTAGATGCTCCATTTATTTATTAAACAGTATATTTCTAATATTTCTATTTATCTATTATTCTTATCTATTTTCTCATAAATCAATTTATCAAAATGAAGGTAACATTCACCTATGGATATTTGGAAAATGATAAAAGAAAGTACAATTCTGTAAAAAGTCAGTTTAGGCTTTGGAATACAGAAGAATACAAGAGAATATTGAAGAAAGTCTGGTTTTCTTAACATATAAGTTGTTTTTGAAAGAGATATGATCGGATGTTTTTTTGTTTTTTTAAGAAATGGTTTGATATCAAGCCCATCAATTTTCAGGGCGTGGTGAGTTCAGATTTGAACCCAAGAGAGTAAACTGAATCTCACATTAAATACAAATTAACTAGGAAACATTTTTAACTACTCATCAACTATTTGAAGCCATCATCATTAAACAAACAAAAAACAACAAAAAAAAAAAAAACAAACATTGACTCTACTTTTTTGAAAAATTGTCTGTGAGTTTATTGAAAGGGAAAATCTATCCCATACTAAGTTACTTAATCTATCACATACTAAGTTACTTAATCTATCCCATAGTAAGTTACTTAATCTATTTGTTTAATTCTTGCTTATATTCTGACTAATGATTTGTTGTTAAGAACATTACAAGCTTAATATTTTATGCTTGACCCATTTTTCTTTTTGTCCCAGGAGTATGGATTCATGAGAAAAAAGATATTGAATTCTAAGACTTTTTTATGAGTTTTCTGATATCGGTTAAAATTCTCACAACTATGATGTAAAAGACATTTTTTTTCTAGTGAACTTTGTGTATTTTTGACAGGTTTTTATATATATATATATATATATATATATATAGAGAGAGAGAGAGAGAGAGAGAGTAAGATTGAAGAATTATGCAGACTGCCTGAAATTAAGTGCCTGGTTAAAAGAAAGTAAAAAAAAATTATAAAAAAAATTATTGAGAAGAATGAATTATTGAAAACAAGTATATTATCAGCTCCCAAATTCCATGATTATTTAAGTATAAATTAGCAAATATCAAATATCTGTGCGCTTTACTGAGAATCAAAGTGGCACTGCTTGAAGTGCTTGTATTTTTCTCATGGAGTAGAGAGTGTAGTATCTGTGCACTGAAAGAGTGTTGATATGATGGAGTGGTAAAAAGTTATTGGCCTGACCAAAAAGCCCTTTCCTTATGTTTGGTTAGAATATAACAAGTGGGTCAAGCAAAGAACTTTTCAGTAAACTTTCGTATATGTGTGTGCAAGTGTGTAAAAATTTAGGTATAAATAAAATATATCTCAAAAGATTAACATGAATAATGACAAAAGGAAAACTTTCTTTACTGATATGTTTCAACCTCTGATGGATTTTATCAAGGCTAACTTTTGCATTGATAAAGAGAAAATGTGTTGGTAAAGAAAAGTTTTCCTTTATATATATATATATATATATATATATATATATATATATATATATATATATATATATATATATAGCTCTTCATCAGAATTGAGCACTCTGGTTGCTGGTCTAGTGTTTATATACATCACATATATAATATGTTAAAAGATTCCCTTTCTCCACCATGTGCTGATAGCTTAGGGGTAGAGTCTCTGACTGATGCCAAATCAGTTGCGTTTCGATCCCAGTTTGAAGCAATCAGATGTCTAGCAACACTGATGAGCTGTGATGCAATGAAACAGTCTGTCTGTGGATGATATAAATATATATGAAACTCGAGTTTCACGCAATCTTCAGATGACTTGACATGTTCAAGTCATCTGAAAATTGCGTGAGCATGAAACTCGGGTTATGACTAGGGTCATCCTTTCATAAGAATTAATGTCATCAAGCATTTTTGCTCTGTCTAGATAATCTAGACATTAAGCTCATTACTGATTAGGCAGGTGCTTGCCTTTATGTTTTTTCTTTTTGCTATCCTTGTTTGAGATTTTATCTTGTTTAAGGGTATTTAGGTCTTTTGGCAAGTTGGACACAGGAAAAAATGCATGTTTTCAAGAAATTAAATTTTCAACAACATTTTATTGAATTGGAATATTAACAAATGACATCTTCAATCTGATTTCCATTATTTGTGATGCAAAAGTTGATGTGCTTTGCAAGCAACCATGTTTAATCTGTGGAGGTAAAAAAAAAAATATACTTAATGAGATTTCCTGTGTCCAAACTTTAAGGACACCCTGTATATATATTATATACAAATATGAATATATATCAAACATTGAGTGCTGGTGTTAATAAAATAGTTCTTGATGCAATATAACAGCTTTTAACTATATGTTAATAAATATCTTTTTTTTTTTCTCTCCTCACTGCTAGCACAACTCGGAACTTCATGCACAACGCAATCTCCAGGTGCTGAATTGACTCTCTGAAGATTGCGTAGTGCATGAAACTATGAGTTGTGCTACCAGTGAGGGAAAAAGTGTGTGTGTGTGTATATATATATATATATATATATATATATATATATATAAACACACATTTGGGCAATAATCTTTCTTTTATACATTTCATTGAATGTGATAGACAAGGGAAATTTCATGCGTCTTTCTTCAGTCTTTCTCATGTTCTTACAGTTCTATATTCTCTTCATCCTCATTAAAGAAAAACTGTAAGAACAATAGAATAGTTGAATAAAAATTTATAAATCTATCCTTTCCATTCAATGAAACATATATAAAAGAAAGGTTGCTACCCAAATATACAAAAATCCTGTATAATTCTGGCAGACACGGTTCTCTACATGATCTCTGTCTTACCATCTCCCTGGACTTATGTCGTGTTCTACAGTTCTGTCCTCTTACCAATTCAAACCAGGCATTAGTGTCTATAGATATCTCTTTCCGCTCTTCTATCATGTGAGAACCCCTTATTAACAGAACATCTTTC